CTCATTTGGAGGCAAATTCAATGATTTGAATCTTTATTGATTTAGGCAACAATTGACAAACTTTTGTCATATTGTATAGTATGTTGAATAGTTTGTAAATATTTAAGATCCCATATCAAGAAAATATGAGAACTTAAAGGAATTTATAAAGACCTATTCTTTATTAATAAATAATTAAGTAAAGTGAAACTCAAGGCAAATTAAGCCTTGCCTCTTTATATATAGTCAAAAGATGGGCACTTGGGGCTTGACTGCTAGAATATCATTAATTTTTTATTATTTTTGGATTTTTTATTTTATTTTATTAAATTAAAATTTAGAAAGACATATTTGAAAATCAGACATAACTATTGGTAGTTAAAAGATACTTTTATGAAATAATGTCTTTCTGGACGGATACATCCCTACAAATAGTTACTTTTCAGGCATTATAAATTCCTATGTAAAGTCAGAGTTCTACATCTAATTTTGATAGAGTTTTGTGTTCTGTTGTATCTTAGAGAATTTTAAATCATTAAGGAAAGTGAGATCACGCCTCAAAACAATTCTTTTATTTTTCTGTTATCTCATTTTTTTTTTTCCCAACAATCTTAAGGATTTAATATCCTTATGGCTCTTCCTATAAATGCCAACATCAAGTTGCTGAATCCAGATGCAGTCAGATTGGACAGGTTCGATGGCCCAACTACATGCGTTGGAAGGATAAGATGACTTTCCTACTAACAACACTAAAGGTGTCATATGTTCTTGATCCAAAACTGCAACCTATCGCAACATCGAAGGAAAACGATTCTAAAAGAGTGAAGAATGCAATCATATGTTGAGGACACATTCTAAATTCTCTCACTGATAGACTTTATGATCTATATCGCAACATGTCTTCTCCTCAAGAAATCTAGATTGCTCTGGAAAAGAAATATAAGCATGAAAAGAAAGGTACGGACAAGTTTCTTGCACTTAAATATTTTGAGTTTGAAATGAAAGATGATATTTCCATCATGGATCAAGTGCATGAATTACAAATTCTGGTATCAAGAATGTCAGAGTTGGAGATAAAGATTCCAGATTCACTTCAAGTAGGGGCAATACTTTCAAAACTTCCTCCATCTTGGAATGATTATAGGAAAAAGGTTCTGCATTCAGATGAAATTCTGATTATGGAACAATTTTAAACACATCTCCAGATCGAGGCAGAAAATCGCTCAAGAGATGCAATATTAGCACCCTCAAAAGTTAATTATGTGAGTCAAAATTCTGCCAAGCCTTTCCAGAATAAACTCAAGCCTCTTAAGAAAAATAATGCTTTCAAGAAAGCTTCTTTCAAGAAAAGTCAGCCTTGTTACCATTGTGGTAAGAAAGGTCACTTCATTAAAGTTTGCAAATTCAGAAATAATGTAAGGAACTTTGGTTATGGCACTAGTGCAGAAACAAGCAACAAAGCAAATTTGATTGAGCATGAATTGGTTGCTATGGTTTCTGATATACAAGTTGGGATGGTGACTGAATTGAACATGGCAAATCCAACCAAGTCTATGGATTGGTGGCTATATTCTGGTGCAACAGTTCATTTGTGCAATAACAAAGCACAATTCAAGTTTTATGAAGATTTAAAGGAACCAGAGGAAGTGCTTATGGGAAAAAATGTCACTGCAAAAGTTCTAGGCAAAGGCACAATGGAATTAAACTTCACTTTGGGCCACAAATTGACCTTGGTTTATGTTTTCCATGTGCCTGATATCAGAAAGAACTTGGTGTCTGTAAATCTGTTATGTAAAAGGGGCTTGAGGGTTGTCTTATAATCAAATAAGGCCATTATATCAAAAAATGGCAACGTTGTGGGGAAAGGTTATTCTTGTGATGGAATGTTCAAATTGAGTATTAATGAAATAAATAATGTTTCTGCTTATATTGTTGAGTGTTCTTCTACTTTATGGCATGCTAGACTAGGACATGTGAATTATGAATCATTAAAATATATGTCTAAGCCTGGATATTTAACTTGTCAAAATGATTTTAAAAATAAATGTGAAATTTGTGTGCAAGGAAAGATGACTAGAAAACCTTTTCCAAAAAGAGAAAGAAATACAGAAATGTTAGAGTTAATGCATTATGATATTTGTGAATTAAATGATCATCTTACTAGAGAAGCTAAAATATACTTCATAACATTTATTGATGATTGTTCTAGACATACATATGTGTATCTTATGGGAACAAAAGATGAGGCTTTTTGACAAGTTTAAAGAGTATAAATTTGTTGTGGAAAATCAAAAAGAGAAGAGAATTAAAGCTCTTCGTAGTGATAGGGGTGGTGAGTATTTTTCAGATATGTTTTCACAATTTTGTAAAGAACATGGCATCATACATCAAAGAATAGCTCCCTATTCACCCCAACAGAATGGTTTGGTAGAAAGAAAAAATAGAACTTTGGTTGACATGGTTAATTGCATGTTGATAAATTCAAAGTTGCCATTTAATCTTTGGGGAGAGGCATTTCTTACTGCCAATCATGTTACCAACAGAATTCCATCAAAGAAAAGTCATGTTTCTCCATATGAGACTTGGAATAATGGTAAAAAACCAAATTTGAATTATCTGAAAGTGTGGGGGTGTCTTGCCTTATATAAGGTTACAGCCCACAAAGAACAAAATTAGGACCTCAAGGCATTAAAAGTGTATTTGTTGGTTATGCAATTAATTCTAAGGCCTATAGGTTACTAGATTTAGAGTCAAATGTTATAATAGAATCTCTACATGTTGAGTTCTTTGAAGATAAGTTTATTAAAGATTCTTCTACTATATTTGATTTTGTAAATTCTTTTAATAATTCAATGCATGAAAATCATAACAGTACAAGTACACTTCATGAGGAGAAAAGAAAAGAGAATGATGGTTCAATTGAACTAAGAAGAAGTACAAGGATTAGGAAAGAAAAATCTCTTGATCTTGATTTTATTTCTTCTCAATCTGTTGTCTTTCTAGTTGAAGCAATCAGAACTGAAATAATTCAAAAAATACCCATGGTATTAAATGTTAAAGAAGATCCAAAAACATTTCAAGAAGCAATGGCTTCAAGGGATGCAACTTTTTGGAGAGAAGCTGTGAATGATGAGATGGACTCTATTATGTCCAATAATACTTGGATTTTAGTGGATCTTCCATATAGTTCTAAACCAATTGGTTGTAAATGGGTATTTAGACGAAAATACAATATAGATGGAACAATACAAACCTTCAAAGCAAGGTTAGTTGCAAAAGGTTTTACTCAAAAGGAAGGAATAGATTATTTTGACACATATGCTCCTATTGCAAGAATAACATCTATAAGAGTTCTCTTTGCATTGGCTTCGATTTATAAGCTGTTATAATATGTTTGATTGGAGAAAAATAAAAGAGAGAGAGGGGTTTTTTTATTAATTAAATTATAATATTTAAAAATATTATAATTTAATTGATTAAAAACTTATTATGCTCTTTCTCTTCTTTCAAATCAAACACACCATTAATTTTGACTTAAGAAATGTTGATAAGCATCAAAATTAATTTTAGAAGAAAGCTTGCCTCTTGGCATTGTGAATCCTTGTCCTTTGGTGGGCGAATTGTTCTCCTTAATTCTGTCCTTTCAAGTCTCTCTGTTTACTACTTCTTAGCCCTCAAAGCACCCAAAAAGGAAATTAATTTACTATCTTTAATCCAAAGGAGATTCCTATGGGGGGTAGTGAAGAAAAGAATAGAATTGCTTGGGTCAGTTGGGACATGATTTATAGGAATAGGTTGGCAGGTGGGCTTGGAGTGAAGAATTTGGGTTGTTTCAATCAGACTTTACTTGGTAAATGGAGATGGAGGCTCTTAGAGGATGATAAATCTTTATGGAAAAGGGTCATAGAGGCTAAATATAGAATAGATAGAACTAAGTTATGGGAAGGGGGCCTTTGGGATGCTAGTAGCTCTAGTTGGTGGAAGGATTTGTGCAAACTTGATTCATCACCTGTGAGTAGAATAGGGTGGTTTCAGGTGAATATTGAAAAAGTGACAAGGGAGGGTTCTAACACACTTTTTTGGCATGACAAATGGGTGGGGAGCGTTCCATTGAAGATAAGTTTTAATAGGTTATTTAGTCTAGCAACAAATAAAGGGGTGTTAGTTTCTGAAATGGGTGAATGGAGAGATGGGTCATGGATTTGGAAGTGGAGTTGGAGAAGAAATCTTTTTGCTTGGGAATATGATTTTTTACAGGAGCTACAAACTACAATCCAAAGGCAACACTTATCTCAAGGCATTGAAGATCGATGAGTTTGGAAGCAGGACCTGAAAGGAAGGTATTCCGCTAGCTCAACTTACGACTTGCTAATGCCTAGTACTAGTTTGGAGCAACCTAGAGACTCTAGAATGGTTTGGAACAGAAGGGTGCCATTGAAGATATCAACTTTCATATGGAAAGCAGTACAAAATAGAATCCCAACAAAGGAGAACTTGCTGAAAAGAAGGATTGTGTCAAATTCCGATTACTTGTCATGTGTCCTATGCGGGCTGGAGGTTGAAAACTCGAACCATATCCTCTTTTCTTGCTCAGCAGCTTGGAATGTCTAGACATCTTGCTACAAATGGTGGGGTATTACTACTGTGTCCCATGAAAAAGGCTGGCAACATTTGGAACAACACTCAGGCCTCTTCACCAATCGACATTTAAAGGAAGCTTGGATGATGGTCTGGTTTGCAATAATACGGTTTTTGTGGCTATGGAGAAATGAGGTGATATTTAAGA